TAAATATAATAAAATTTGAAAATATTTTTACATTGTATGATGTATCGTTCTATTGATGTGTAAATAATCGAGGAGAAATTCAATTAGTGCTGCAACTCATATCCCTATTTTGCTAATTAATTAATCTGTCGAGTATTTTGTCGAGTCTAAAGTTTTCCACATGAGTTCTCAAAAGAGCATATTCACAGACTCATTTTTTTATCTTAAATGCAAAATATTAATAAGTTTTTACAATTTTGATATGATTACTGCTCTAAGTGGGTTTCTCTATCAGCTAATGGCATATTGAGAGTCTCTATACTCCAGTTAACAATTAACCGATTGCTAAATTTGTTGACGGTTATTTCAATAATCGATTAATCAAGATGATCCAATGAATTGTTTAAAACCTAAATTAGATTCATCTAAAATGAATGCAAAAAGCAAAAATTTACAAACAACACTAACTAGTATTGTTGCCCTGCCAGATTAGCACTTGAGCATCAATGCTTTTTAGAGTATCTCTTTATACTTTTGACAACCCTAAAAACTGATTTAAACAAATTGCCAAAAACCAAAACTAATCGTTTCGTCTCGACTCTTTCCTTTCCATGTAGCATTAAATACATAAAGGTAAAATCTTTACATAGATCATTTTCAGCAACACTTAAGCATCCAAGACTCCGGATTTAGAAATCCCTGGAAATAGCTAGATCACTCCAGTGATCAGGTTTTACATCCATACAGAACGCTGAATAACAACAGCTGCTGCAGTGGCTCAAAGGTTCAGACTCTAACCTGTTGCCAGGTAGATAGGGTGATGCTGAGCAGGACTCCAGCTCTGGATGGCTGTACGGTTGATCTCCTTAAGTTTCATCCTGCAGAGAAAACAGAGCAGTCCATACAATGAGCTGTTTAGAAATCCGGCAGCTTATTACAAAATGAAAGAAACAAAACACCAGATGTGAAGATCACTTATAACTTCACATCTGATAACTTTTTACTGAAATTAACCGTAATATTTCATATTGTGGTTATTTCCGGTAAAATACACAATGATACATGGTAAAATGCTCAAACAGCACTTTCACCATCCTTTCTTAATATAGAGCCTCAGTGTCAGATCATTTCTTTGCCACAGACCAAACATCTTCTGCCTGAATTGTTTTGCATCAGATTTCTATCCCTGCGTATCACCTTGAAAAACGTGCGTAGAACCTTGAGAAGGTTTAAATGTCCCTTTTACTTTTTCACTATAGTATTTGTGGATTTTGCTTTAAATTCCAAAAAGGTGCTAAATCAGGCACATCGTGAGGAAACTGAGACTAGGTGCTGGACCACAGAAGCATCACACAAGTATTAAATGTAATTATCCAGACAGAAGACCCAAATTTGCAGCCAGAACAAAGATTAGAACTTAAACAGTTTATTCAAAACTCAGGATTTCAGGAGCACATCCGCCGAGGACCAGGGATTACTTAGAGTCCTCCTTTCAGCGGGGATCAGCAGCTTGAATAGAGCAGACTGCTCCTTTAAACAGCTGTTGGGTGACTTGGAGCACAGAGGCAGGATCAAGGTCAGGCTTAATGATCAGGGGGTTTGACAGGAGGCAGAAGACAAGGGGCAGAAACAGGGTAATTGTCCAGAAGGCAGAGAAATCTGATGAGGGCTAGGAAAGAGGGAAAATCTGTGAAGCAAGAGCTTGGTCAGGTAACGTGAAGGGCTGGATACTGCTTGATGTTGGCTTGCAATTATCTGGCCGTGTCTGCCTGCCACAGGCTGTCTTATAACTGCTTAAACACAGCTGAGAGACATGCTGCATATTGCACTGCAGTAGGCAAGAGCTGGAGTTGATTGCTCACAGGGAGAGCAGAGCGGACAGACAGGCCAGAATCATAACATTAAGTTAAAATTAAATGAATTTGAACGCTATTTATCTCCCAAGTGGGTTTATTCACCAAAAGAAAAACCTTACTTTACATTCACTTGCAAAAATGATGACTAAAAATTCAACTACAAAAACTGAAATGCCAAAATAGGCCAGTTCTGCTGTTGAATTTTCGCAGCTGACTGTTTTTTTTTTTTGTTCTAGATGTGAAATTCTCTACAGGAGTTTTTTTCTCAGATGTTTTTTTCCTTTCTTTCCTAATTTCCTTTATTTTCTTACAATTTCTTTTTTCAGGCATTTTTTATTTTATTTTTTGGTAGATGAAGTCAAACTAACAAAAAAATCAAATACAAAATTGCACAAATTAAAAACCCTCTGTTATAAAATAAATGCCTGAACAAAGTTTGATTGTAATATATATATATATATATATATATATATATATATATATATATATATATATATATAATAGTTTGCATTGATCTGCTTTACTGATCTCCCTCCAGATACAACTCAATCAAATCCCTTTCCTAAAAAGGTGCAGAAATCCCAGCAGCTTCTATTTATTTCCTAGAGATATTCACCTAGAATGGCACCAGCTGAAAGGGAAAACTATAGTAACATGTAACTACACCTTTATCACAGCATGTTGTTACAGTTCAGTTTTGTAGTAGTTACGTTGCTGAATAACAGAAACAGACCTTGTTCTCATTTAGCTTCCATAATTAATGTGAGACTTGAAAGAATGAATTGGATTTCTCTCCAGTGCAAAGTCTGATTTGATTTATCTATTAAACCCCTAAGCTAGCAGAAAGCTAACAGCTGATTGGAGGATAAAAAGCTTCGACAGTTACTCCGGCTAAAACAAGAGTTCAAATGTTAATATTTAAACACAAGCTCCCCAGGACGGTGTTAGCTGTTTTTTGGTAGCTTACATGTTGTGTTAAGTTAGTAGAGTCCCTGCAACCTATCCAATGCACAGCTGTAATCGACCTACACACACAAACACACCGAGATCTTATTACTTCTCTAAAGCGGCTTACCTTCTCTTCTTGGCCGCTCCTCACATGAACGCAACACTAAAACAAAGACACAAACGCACAACCTCCCAACTGAAGAGGTTCCCGTTTCGTTTCTAACGGCTGTGCAAACAGAGGAACGGGCTACCGGGTCCCGGCTGCGGACTCTCAGGACAGATTTCCACGTCCCCACTGGTCTCCATCAACGTGGCACTAAGCAACAGCCTCCTCCCACGAAGAAGAACATCAACTTCCGGGTGCACCGTGATTTACCGTCCCCCATTGCTAGCAAGCTACGATAATTTTAAAAGCTGGTTTAGTCCCCAGAAATGAGCTGCTTTGTATATGATTGAAATATACTTTTTCTTTCTTACATTAAAATTAGAATATATTATTATATAATAAATAAAATATACTTTATGTGACAGTGTTCACATTTTAATAGCAGACTGTTACTTTGATTACACTTACACCGATATTCATGTTAGGAAACGAGAAGCAAAGATTCCTAAAAAAAAAAACCAAAACGTAGGCACATTTGATCGTTCTATATGTTTGATTAGTTAATGTCCTTAATCTGAGCCTTTTTATTTATAAAGGAACACATACATTAGGCTAATCGGCAGAACATTTATGTCCCAGACTTTTTAATAGAACCTGACATCCTAGCCATTTCTTTTCGCCTCGAGTAGCTACATTCACGTCACACAAGTGGAACAAATGAATACAACAGAATATCAGTTAGGCAACAGTTAATACATTAAAAACCATCAAATGTAAGATTCCCGAGGCCTATAAAACAATATCACTTTTTTGAGCTTTTGAAATCAAAACAGAACAAAAATGAAACTAAGTGCAATCTCACATTTAATCAAAGCGTACCAAAAGTGACAACTTGACTACTTTTTCAGTTATAACCAGTCCCTGAGACTTGGAATATTAAGTTAAAAATTATTTTTGACTTAATATGTTGCAGGTGATGAAGCAGACTGAAAATGTTTTGTCATTGTCTCCTTTCTTTTTTCCCCCCCTTTTTCTTCTTCTGTTTTTCTGCTCTATTTACATTGCAGTGTCCATATAAACTGTAAAACTCCCTGCATAATTATAATAAAGCAATTGATATGCATGAAACAAGTGTAGCAGTATGGCAATTGCCATACTGCTACACTTGTGAAAGTAAAATCTGTTGGGCTCTTTTTGACATCAAGACAATTAGTCTTATTGCCACATTGCCAGACAGGACACTGTATTAAAAAATAAATAAATATATTTTTTTCCAACAACAAAAAAATGTGTCAATGTACTTTCCAATCGTTTTGGGCTTCATTGTGGTTTCCTTGTGGATTCAAACATGAATTAAATATTTTAAAAACCACACTAGTTGAAGTGTGAAAATGATTTGAAGGTACTTTTTCATTTCTTCAGCATTGTTCTAATTTGCAGTTTTTTTTTTGTGTTGACAAAATAATTCTTTACATTTACTTAAAATCCTGTCACTCGGTTAAGACAAACTGAGTTAAACTAAAATTAAAATACTGTAAACATCAAAATTATTTATCTTAGTTCAAACACCTTAAGATTGAAGTGTTATACAGGAATGAGTAACTCTAATTTAATGCTCTAAGAAACAATTTTAATGCCATCAGGTATCCATGGCTCTCATAACACAGCTAAATTCCTCATCTTTCCCGTCGACAGGCTGCAGCCATGTCTTGAATTCCTCAATAAGCCCAAAGCATATATATTACGATATAATGAAATTGTTTTTAAATAAACCGTTTTAAATGCCACAATAGTCGTATTTAATGAATTTTAATGCCAATTCAGGCCTCAATTAAAAAAAAATTATTTAATGACCCCAGGAAACCCTCAAGCTTTTCTAGTCTAGTTCTCACCAAAATAAAAATCTTTCCTCAGCCTTCATCTCTGGTAAACTGCAGATTTCTAAGCATTTTTAATGATCAGTTCAGTGTTGATTTTTCATGAGTTTCCTATTTTATCTTATGTTAAGCAACTTGCATTACTCTGACTTTTAGAAGTTCTCTGTAGAATTTATTAAGAACTTTCCAAATTCCAAGATGTGGATGTGTGAGAAAATACTCCAGACAATAGAGTGTATTTTATGAACTCATTTTTATTTTTGTTAATTAAACAGAAAACAAAGACTGGTGGTCAGTTTTTGGTAGGTGGTAGTTGTATCAATGCGGTTCAGCTGTGCGACCAAGGCCAATTCTGAAAAGACAATAACAACATGTCAATAAATATATCACATTAAAACAGTTACTGTGAGACATGCAGACAGGCACCCTCATTTCAGTCGTTATCAGTAATCTTTCCCAAACATAAACATGAATGGATCAGATGGGTAGTGATTGATATAATCATTGGGACAGCCATGCACATGGCCAGGCATCCTCACAGTGTCCTGCAGGTTTTGGAGGTTTCTCTGCTTTAGCACAGCTGATTATGATGATTGCAGTTGAGCAAAAGCCTGCTAACCAGCTTTCAATTATAATTTAGCTGTGCTGGAGAAATTAAACCTCTAAAACCTGCAGGATGGCGGCCCTCGAGGACCAACTTTGGAGATGCTGCACGTGACTGAAAAAAGTATCCACGTTTCAATACGTACATGTACTTGAACCCCCAGTGCCTCGCAGGAACACAATTGCATCAGATCACCTGAAAGACAAGCAGATTTTTTTTTTTTTATGATAAACGATCCTGTTTGCTCCTCAATTATCATAAATTTTATCTGTCTGAATCAAGCAATGCAAGCAGGCGCGTAGATCACGCACTTCAGCTACCACGTGACCTCCACCGCGTGCAAGCAGGATTTACAAAGGATGAAAAAATACAAGTAAAACATGTTTGCTTGAACTCACTAGTTGGTTATGCACTTAATACACGTGCCTTTCAAGTTGTTAAAAATGTATCTTTATCAAAATAACCTCACTAACCTCGTAAGACATGTGAAAACAAGGATAAACTTAGCGGGTTGAATTAGATTAACTTTTTTTTAAAAGGACATTAAAAACGAACAACTTTGCTTTCGTACCTGAATGAAATGAATGCGGTTGAACTTTTAGTAAAAAAAAACAAACAAAAAACATTTCCTCTGCGACTCTTCGGTGCCACTTTCTTTCCTCTGTCGTGACTTCTTCTTCTACGTTGAATGGCGGATTGCAAACAGCTTGCATACCGCCACCTACTTCCTCTTCTTTTGGTTTATTGGCGGTTGGCAACAAACTTTGAGCAGCATTACCGCCACTTACTGGTATGGAGTGTGATTCTAGATGTTTTTATCTATCAATCTATATATTAATATATAAATATATATATACTATATATATTTCTATCTATATATATCTTAGTATTTTACTCATCAATATCATAAAGACCATCTATAATCAAATTCTATGAAATAATTTAGTTTTCTTTAAATATCTAATAACTATTTGTATTTGTTTACTCTGTCTTCTGAATTTTATAAAACCATCTTCCTGTTTTTTCTTCATTCCACCTTTTTTTTTGTTGCCATTTTTCCATCAGTTTCTCTTTAATAATACTCTTTCCTTCAGATTTATTTGTTTTAACTGTAAAACTAATAGGATACTAACTCGCCCTCTTTGCCATTTTATCTGCCCTCTCATTTCCTTCTACTCCAATATGTGCTGGAACCCACAGAAATGTAACTATCAAACCCATATTTTGTATTCTGAATAATGTATGAAATATTTCTAATAAAATGTCCATCCTACTATCTGATTGATTATATTTTATACTTAATAATGCAGAGCTTGAATCTGAACAGATTACTTATTTTAACGGTTTTATATCTTCTACCCATTGTAAAGCTAATAATATTGCTAACATTTCTCCTGTGTATACTGATAATCCATCTATTATTTGTTTTCCTATTCTTATATTGAATTCTGTTACTACAAAAGCTATTCCTATTTTCCTATTTATTTTTGATGCATCTATATAAATTTGAATATACTGATAACAATTGTTTAAATGTAACTGTACTGAATAATTATCTACGATATAAGATTAATCTTGTTTCATTTCCATTATTGCCATATCTACTATTGCCTCTGGTAGAATCCATGGTGGTATAATTGATATTGGTGTAGTTAGAGTCATTTCTAAATCATTCATTTTAAATTCTTTTATTTTATTTTCAATTGCCATCCAAAACTCCTAATTTCTTTCTTTTTTTTTTAACAACATGGATTTAAAAGTTCCCGAGTGGGATGATCTAAGCTATTACCTTTTAACTTCAACCAATAATTTATTTCAAGTTTTGTTCTTTTTAAATCTAACAGCATTTCTCCCATTTCCACCTACAGTACATGAGTGTGTAGCTTTATAGTTCACCTACTATAGTCTGTTTTTATTTTTGTGTTATGCAACAATAAAAACAATGCTTTATTAATAACCAAATTTCCCTCCCTATCTCCATCTGTCCCTAAAATTCGTTTAATACTCCATTCTCTCGATTTTTCCATAATTACTTTCCTCATCCTCCCTCTTTCAGTTGCATATTTAATGCAATCCATCAAAACATGATCCACATTTTCTTTTCTTTCACAACCCTCACATAAAGTATTATTTCTCTTATCTAGTAAAAACAAAAACTCATTCAAGTAGGTATGTCCAGTTCTTAATCTAGTATAAATTATCTCTTCCCTTCTGTTTCTTTCTCCATTATTTTTAACAATTACAGTTTTTTTTTACTCTATATAATCTTCTTCCTTTATAATCTTCATCCCATATTTTTTTACCATAATTCTGTTTCTTTCTTTTTAAATATTGATGTACCTTCCCCTTCCCAAAGGGAATCTGATCTATATTCTGCTTTCCTAAAGCCTTTTTAGCTATATTGTCTGCTATTTCATTTCCTCTCACCCCTCCGTTTGCTGGAACCCAGCAAAATTGAACATCTATTCCATACCTAAATAACCTAAACAAACTGAATGAAATTAATTTCTAGAACAAAGTGTTTCCTATTATTTTCTCCTGAATGAATGCTTTCTATTGCAGCGTTAGAATCTGTGCAAATCACCACTCTGTCCAGTCTGACCTTCTCCACCCACTGTAAACTAATAATATTTGCTACCATTTCTGCTGTGTATATAGATAAAAGGTCAGTTAATCTTTTACATACGGAATGAATATCCCTATTCCCACATATCCCTTTGAATTTTTTGAACCATCTGTGTAAATTTTTAAATAACTATAATACAATTGTCTAATATATATGCTAAATTTAAACCCAACTTCATTATGGTTCCATTCTCTTTTCATTTCATGTATATTAAAGTCAACTTTTGTTTCTGCAAACAAGTATGGTCCTACAGCACAGATTGGGTTATTTTTGGAGAATTTCTCATCATCTAACTCATATATTTTTGCCCATTTATTCACAGTCCAGCCAAAGCCATTTCTTGTAAATTTGAAATATTCCCAACAGTTCTTAATTATGCTTGCTGCTGGGTTTTCTTCACTACTGCTTTTAATTCTGATCCAATATGAAAGTGCTATTTTGAACTATCTAATTTCTAAAGGAGTTTCTCCACCCTCTATTAGAAGGGTTGTTTTTATTTTTATATAACACAAAAATAAAAAAAAATAGAATATAGTAGGTGCAATTATAGAGCTACACACTCATGTACAGTAGGTGGCGGTATGCACCTATAAGTTGTTTGCAATCCACCAAGAAACAAACAACCAACAACAACAAAATAAAAATAAGATTATAATAATTAAGTTAATACGTACATCTTACATTATTTTTTATTAATTTTGTTGTCCTAAGGTAATTCATTAAATAAATTTTTTCTTGTAATCGACTAACTACTTCCCTTCTCTCAACAGAATATCTAGAACAGACTAACAAAACATGTTTTACTGTCTCTTCTTGAAAACAAAAATCACAATTTCCTGTTGGATGTTTCCTCATTTTAAATAATGTACTATTTAACCTTGTATGATCAAAACGTAATCTGGATATAATGGTTTCCTCTTTTCTATTTCTTCCTGTTCTCCTCATTCTAGCAACTTTTCTTTGAATACTGTAAAGCCACCTTCCAGTTCTATCCTCTTCCCATTGCTTCTGCCACCTTTCCTTAACCTTTTGTTTAATAATAGGTTCAATTTCTTCTTCACTAAATGGTATCATTATATCAATATAACTATTTTTTGTAGCTTGTTTTTCATATTCAGCTGCCAACTAATTTCCTTTTACTCCTATATATATGTAAAAATAACTGTTAAACCCAATGCCTGAATTCTATAAATTAAAAATTGAATCTAATAAAAGATCTGGTCGATTAATAGAAGGATTACTTAATATTGAATATAATGATGAACTTGAATCAGAACACATTATACTTCTTACAGGACGAACTTCCTTAATCCATCGTAAAGCCAAAATGATCCCCATCATCTCTCCTACATAAACTGACACTCCATCAGAATTCTTTTACATTTTTTAATACTGAATTCTGGAAGAATGAATGACACCCCACTATTGCTATGTGAATTTTTTTTTAAGCATCTGTATAAATTTGGACATATCCATAGTACTTATTGTCTAAATAAATTTGTACCGAAATTGGATGTAAGAGATTTTCTTTTTCCCTTCGTCTTGACTCCTCTGCTGCTTCCTACTCTTCTTCGTAGAGATTTGGTGGTCAGCAAAATCCGAAAAAAAAAAAAACAGATGAACTCATTTAGTCCTTTTTTTTTAATTCTTACTATCTTCAAATTCTATTAATCAAACCTGTTCTTTAACAAGCGGTTTATAATTTTACTTTCTGAGTTTTTCTGCATAGTGTTTATGACGTTTATTTTTTATTGTATGTTTTTTAAATCTATCTTCTACAATCTAATATAACATATATTGTTCCATTTTCTGCCAAATGTTGACATACACTTCCTGTATATTTATTCAATACAAACAATCTATAATTAGGGCCTGCATAGCTAAAAGTTATTCTTGTAATCAATTTAACTTTCTTTGAATCTTATTGCATCTTCCCTTTTTTCCTTTATTCCATTCTTTTTGACACTTTTTATAAATTTTTGTTTACCAATACTTTGTGTCTGTAAATTGCTTATACTAATTGTAAAATTTATTACACCTGTTGTTGCCCTTTTTGATTCCAAATCTACTATTTGCTGTATATCTATTAAAAATCTCCAAAAGACTTTCCTGTAAAATTATAAGTGCTGAATTTGAATCTGAACATATGCTTTTTATTTCTTCTATCAACTGAGCCGCTTAAAATATGGCTAACATTTCTCATTTGTATACAGACAATCCTTTATTGATTTGATTGCCTTGTACTTTTTGAAATCCAGACACTATAAATGCTATTTCAAATTTTTTTTTTATGCATTTGTATTTCTTTTCCTTCATCTATTAAAGATTTCATGGCGGTGGGTAACCAATAAGAAAAGTTGATTTTTGTTGTTGCCCTCACCTCCTAGCAGTGACGACAAATACATTGCTGACATGTGCGGCTCATTGCGTATTTTGGGTAACATGTGCATGCACGGCACGGCTAAGTGGGTTTTCCTATCAGAAAATTGTGTTAAAGATGAAAATTTGGTGATTTTTCTCTATTCTCTTTTCTTTTTTTATGGTTAAAACAGATTAACCTTTTCAAACATGCCTGGGGGAGTGGCAGCCTAGTGGTTAGGCCATAGAGCTTGGAATCCTGAGGAATCAGAGGTTCATCCTGAGAGATGGGTTAAATGCATAGGTAATTTTCTCCAATGTGAAATCAATCAAGTTCATTTATTAAACTTGTCCTGTCTTTGTTTTTATATTCAAGAACTGAAAATTTTTAAATTTCTTAAATAGATAACAGTGCTTATATTTAATTCCTAATTGTTATTTGTGTTCTCCAACCCCATTTCTTCCAAAATGTTCAGTCAGGTGACACAAAAAGTTCAGTCCGCTTTGCAGCTAAATTTTGCTAAAACATCTAAATGTCACTTCCACAATGTCACTTGTAGGGTTGCCAACTTCCTGAGAAAAAAAAAAAAAAGGGACACCTCATGTGTTTGCCAGCTGACCCGATTGCCTTTACCCCTCCTTGTGTGGGGATTTTTTTTAGCCCCCCTTTGTGTGTAAAATTATTTTTTTTTAAACAATTTGCATCAGAACTGAATTAGATGCATGTTTGTGAATGACTTGA